GCTCAGCTGCACTTGCAGGAGCGCACGATCATGTTGGACAGCTGCTCCACCTTGGGCTTGCGGCCCACGTAGTACACAATAGGCAGGGGCTCCAGCGCCTGCGGCACGCAGCAGGGCGCCGCCGACGCGCCGGGGTTGTGCTGGTTGTATAGGGCCAGGACCTGCGGGCGGATGGGCGGGGTCAGGGCAGGGGTCAGATTGCTCCCATCTCCCTACACCTCTTCTCACCCTTAGGGCTCAATCTCTGCCGCTCCACATTTCCCACTCTTGATTTGTATCTCAATCATTCTTTCTCCTTCCATCTTCTTGTCTCTGTGTATCAACCTGTGCCTTCCTGCCTTGTTCATTCTGTCTCTGTCTCATCTCTCGGTTTCTTTTTCTCCTTCCAAGCTACTCCGTCCCGTGGGTCTCCCCATATGCCTCGTCTCTAACTGTGCAGACCGGTCTCCAGCTTCTCTCCCATCTCTTTATCACCCTCTCCTCCAGTCTCTCTGTCTCTATTTCTCCTTTCCGCACTTCATCTCTGCGTGTACCTCTCTCCCTCCCCTCCCTTGGTCCCAGACGCACCTTGCTGTACTGCGTTTCCAGGCTCCAAATGTAGGGGCAGGGCCCCAGGCAGAAGTTGGCGTGGTAGCCCTTGGGCTCGTGGATCCATTTCCAGCCCAGATCCTTGCGGAAGTCGATGTAGAGCTGCCGCACGCAGCAGTTTTTCTCCGTGGAGCTGTGGGCGGGACACGGGTGAGGAATCCAGGTCAGGTCGACAGAGGGGCCTGCAAGGGCTAGCCATGCGTGTGTGTGTGTGTGTGTGTGTGTGTGTGTGTGTGTGTGTTTGCACCATCTCCATCTTGGTCTCCCTTGCACCCACTGTGATAACAACAGCCAACAGTTATAATACTGATGATCTCCAGCACTGATAAAGCACTTCCTCCAGTCAAGCACTGCGCTAAGAGCAACATAATAAACAGGGTCTCGTGCAGTGCTCAAAACAAGCCTGTAGGAAGCCAGTGGCCATCCACAGGGACGGCTAAATCATGGCACATCCATACACTAGAACATAAAACAGTGCAGCTCCATGTGTACTGGTACATTCTACATGTGCAACAAGTGTTTACTGAATTAGTGTGTGCTGCCCTGGGATCTACAGGGACTCAGTACAAACAAAACAGACAGAAACCCCTGTCCTCTAGGGCCAAATGCTAGAGACTGTCATGTCGCTCTTCTGCTCTGAACATGGCCCCGCTTCACTAAGGACAAATGCCAGAAGTCCTCACCATGAACCACAAGGCACTGCTGGATTTGGCTAATCTCAATTCCCTCTCCATTTTCACTCTACTCCAGTCATACTAGTGTCCTCACTGCTCCTCAAACGGTCCTACCTCAGGGCCTTTGCACTTGCTGTTGTCCCTGCCTGTTCACACAAATTTCTGCTCCAGCTTATTTCTTTACTTCCTTTAATTATATGCTTAAATGTCCTTCACTCAGGGAGCCTCAATCCTAGAACACTGCCTGGCATGCAGTGGGTGCTCAATAAATAGTTAAACAAATTAATGTCATCTCTTTTTTTTTTTCTTTTTTTTAAACTAATTTCAGAGAGGACGGGAGAGGGAGAGATAGAAACATCAATGATGAGAGAGAATCACTGATCAGCTGCCTCCTGCACACCCCCTACTGGGGATCGAGCCCACAACCTTAAACGGAACCAAACCTGGGACCCTTCAGTCTGCAGGCCAATGCTCTATCCACTCAGCCAAACCAGCTAGGGCTAATGTCATCTCTTTAGAGAGTCCTTCCTGGACCATCCTACCCAAAATACCAATCCAAAAGACAGTTCCATTCAGTGTAACTATAGCATTGCAGGTATGCAAGAAAATATGAAAATGTCTGTGTCGCCGAAACCGGTCTGGCTCAGTGGATAGAGCATCAGCCTGCGGACTGAGAGGTCCCGGGTTCGATTCCGGTCAGGGGCATGTACCTGGGTTGCGGGCACATCCCCAGTGGGAGATGTGCAGGAGGCAGCTGATCGATGTTTCTCTCTCATCGATGTTTCTAACTCTCTGCCTCTTTCCCTTCCTCTCTGTAATAAATCAATAAAATATATTTTAAAAAAAAATGTCTGTGTCAAAAAAAAGAAAGAAAATGTCTGTGTCTGAAGTGGGACAAAATCTTAAAACCTGTGGAAGCTGAATAAGAGTTCATTATACTATCCTGGTTGCTTTTATATACATTTGAAATTTTCATAATAAAAATCAGGATAGGAAAAATACTCTCCAATATCTCTTTCTTTCTGTCTCTTTCATCTGCTTTATTTTCCTTCTTAGAACTTTTAGCTACCTGCTCTTTTATTTATTTGATATTGATTTATCTGTTCATTATCTGCCTTCCTCTGAGGACAGGACTTTTTGTCTGTTTTCTCTCCCAATGTATCCCTAGTGCCTACAACAGTGCCTGGCACACTGTAGGTACTCTGCAAATATTGGATGTATAAATTAATTGTTCAATGGGTTAGGTTTTTAAAAAGCACATTGGAGCCCTGGCTGGTTTTGCTCAGTGGATAGAACAGGGGTAGGCAAACTTTTTGACTCGAGGGCCACAATGGGTTCTTAAACTGGACTGGAGGGCCGGAACAAAAGCATGGATGGAGTGTTTGTGTGAACTAATATAAATTCAAAGTAAACATCATTACATAAAAGGGTATGGTCTTTTTTTTTTTTTAGTTTTATTCATTTCAAACGGGCCGGATCCAGCCCGCGGGCCATAGTTTGCCCACGGCTGGGATAGAATGTTGGCCTGCAGACTGAAGGATCCCAGGTTCAATTCCAGTCAAGGGCACATGCCCGGGTTGTGGGCTCGATCTCCAGGAGGGGACATGCAGGAGGCAGCTGATCAATGATTCTCTCTCATCATTAATGTTTCTATCTCTCTTTCCCTTTCCCTTCCTCTCCGAAATCAATTAAATAAAAAAATTTTTTAAAGCACATTGGAGAATAGTCGTGTATAAGATACTACCATTCTGGATTTATGAGCTCTGTGCCATGTTCAGATCCAAAGGCCAGTCCTCCCAAGTTGGGGCCCAGGCTTCTGTTTGTTTGAAAGGACCTGGGCACTAAATGTGCAGACCCCTGGGACCATGGCTGAGATGGACAGAGAGCTTGGCTAAAAAGCTTGACTCATGGGCAGACAAGATCTTTATATTCCATGTTTATAACATGTGAAAGAAGCACTATGCAAAGCTACAGGTACTGTATGATCCAAATTCTGTTTGGCATAAAGCAACTGGAAGGAAATTTATTGAAATGTTGATGGTGATATTTTGTATGTGGTATAATGAGTAATATCTTTTATATTTATGTTTCTATGGCATTTATATTTAGTATGATGGACAATATTCTTTATCCTTTCCAAATTCTTAAGAGTGGATATGTGTTACTTCTAGAATCTGGAAAGAAAATGTAGTCCCTTCACTCCCCTCAAATATAAGACTATAATTTGGACAAAATAAATTAATATATGGCTATATGTAAGTGTCTCATGCAGATACTCTTTGGAGGGAGACACAAATATAATAAAAGTGGCTGCCTCTTCAGTAAGAGGTTGGGGGTTAGAGCTGGAGGGTCTCTGAGATCCTTTCTAGGTTTGGTCCATGTGCATGTATTTACCTATTCAAATAGTAATCAATAGAGAATTCATCAATTCACTTCAAAACCCCGCAAGGCAGGCCTTATTATTATTCCCATTTGAGGATGAAAGACTGAGCCTCAGAGAAGGATGTTGCCTGCTCACATAGAGTATGTAAGGGGTGGAGCTTGAGGCCAGGTTCACAGCTGACTCTATGCCACCCCAGAGCTTGTGGCCTCATCTGCCCAGTACAACCATGTCAGCTTGAGCAGAGGGCAAAGGAGCGATGACACAGGATCTCCTGGGGCAAGTCCTTTCCACAAGCCACAGAGCCCTAAGAAGGGAGGCAGGGAACGGAGACCCCTGAGCTCTGCTGGTCCCTCCACAGTCTGGTTAGGACTCAGTTTCCCCATCAAAGATGGGGCAATGTTGGATCAAATAAAGTGTTGATAACCTGAGGGCCTAAGAGGTATCAGGAAGTCTATGTATGGGCTCAGGGAGGGTCCTGAGCCCCCCAAACCACATGCACAGAGATGTGTATGTATGCACATACTTCTGGGAGGAAAGGTGCCTGGCTTCTGGCTTCTCAGTGGGGTCCTGGACTCACAAAAGTGGAAGAGTCACTGTCCAGAATAATCTTTACTTTGTGTTCCAAATCTGACGGGTTCTGAGGGCTAAGATTTGAAGAGTCTGTGATTCTATTACCCAACTCAGCCATTCTCCATGTGAGGTCCCAGGATAAGCAGCAGTATCACCAGGAACTTATGGGGAATGCAAATTCTCAGGCCCCACCCCAGACCTCCTGAACCAGAAACTGGGGGTGGGAGGTGAGGGCTAGCAGGCCAGGCACCTTTAGGTACTCTGGCACACTTGCAAATTATCATAAATTATCAAAATAATTTAACAAGCCTCAATGGAGGCTTACATGGCTGGCTGCATTCCGGGCCCTGTTATACAACAAAGCTCTCTCATTCAGTCAGCCCATTAGGACCCAACAGGGCCTGATGAGTAAAAGAAACCCAGGGCCCCACATGGACGCTGGATGCTGGGGAAGGAAGGGTCAGGGAAGCTTCCCAGTGGAGATGGTGATTGAGCTAAGAACAAGAAGATGGTGTTGGAACCTCAAACATACACAAAAGCAGAGAATATTATATTGAACCCTCATATCTCCATCACCCAGCTTCAACATTTAGCAAGTCATGGCCAACCTCACTGTATCTCTACCCCTACCACTTCCTCTCCCCAATATCACTCCACCCATAAATATTTCTATATGTATCTCCAAGAAATTCAGGGCTATTCTAAAACATAACCACAATACCACATAAGAAAAATTAATAATTCCTTGATATCATCAGATATCTAGTTAGAGTTCACATTTCCCCAACTGTCTCATAAACATTTTATTTTAGTCTGCACAAATTAAGATCCAAATAAGGTTTACGCATTGCTCTTGGTTGATGTATCTCTTAAGATTGTTTTTTAAATCTACAGAACCATTCTTTATTTCCCACCCTTGCATTGTATGTGTTGAAGAAACTAAGTCAGGTTTCCCACAATCTAGATGTTGCTGACTGCATGCCTGTGGTGGTGTTTAACATGCTCCACTATCCCTATATTTCTAGAAAATTGGAAGTTGGATCTACTATCTTGATCAACTTCAGGTTCAATTTTTTTTTTTTTTTGCAAGACTTCCTAGGTGATATTGTGTCCCTCTCAATGGAGGCTTACATGGCTGGCTGCCTTTCTTTGTAATGTTATTAGCTTTTGGCACTCAAGACCTCATCTGTTCATTCATTCACAGAGTTGCTGGGCTGAGGGTAGGATCTGCAAGGAACTTGGGAGAAGAGCTGACTTTCCAGCTGGGGACTAGCACATGACAAAGCCCCAGAGGCACCATCAAAATATTAAGCAGAGGCCAGGCCGGCATAGCTCAGTGGTTGAGCGTCTACCTATGAACCAAGAGGTCAGGGTTGCAGGCTCGATCCCCAGTAGGGTGCATGCAGAAGGCAGCCGATCAATGATTCTCTCTCATCATGGATTTTTCTATCTCTCTCTTGCTCCCTTCCCCTCTGAAATCAATAAAAAAATATATATTTAAAAATATATATCTATATTTTAATTTATTAAGCAAGGGAGGGGCAGGATCATATTATAATTCTAAATTCACAACATTCTAACTCTGAATTTTAACACTTTAGAAATCCAAGTTTTCAACTTTCTTGGACTGCAGTACGCCAGCACCTCAAGACACTCACACTCCAACATCATTTCCAACTTTCTAGGAGTTCCACATTCCAACTCTCGAGGATCTTGGCATTCTTGAATTCCAATATTTCAATACCGCATTCCAACATTCCAAAGTTCTGAGCCCATCATCACTCGAGAGGGCCAAGCTGCCACTGTCTAGATCCCAGCCTTCATAGAATGCAGCATGCTAACACCAAGCCCCAGTACAGTAGGGTGCCCATATTCTGGCTTTCTCCAGATCCCATTTGTGAATGCTAACATTTTAACGCAGGATTTTATCCTTCTGAGCCCCAGATTCGAGGACTGCAATCTGCCAGCACTGGAGACGCCAATCTGTCAATAAACAGGAATCCAACAAGGGCAACCTTCCAATTCTGAATTCCCAAATTCTAGGATCCCAACACTCTTTGAGTCCAACACTGTTAGATTTCAATAACTAACACTGAATTCTAGCACCCTAGAATCCGAACACTCTAGGATCTCAACCTGCCAGTAATGTCAAAGACTGAATCCCCACATTCTTGGTGTTCAACATTCTAATAGCCTCTGATTCCCACACACCCGCAAGAAAACAACCTGATCTCAACATTCTAGGACTCCCAGGTCACACATCCCTGCATCTAGGACTCAAACCTCATCCCCTGAGTTTTCCAGGCTGAAGGAGATACTAGCCCGAGTATAGTACCAGCCAGGTGCCCACCCTGCAGCACCTGGTCAGGCCTCCCAGGCTAAAGGCCTCAGTTTTCACCTGAAGCAGTAGTTGGTGTCCAGGGCTCGGCGGTGTCGGGGGCTGTGCAGGTGCTGGGCTCTCTCCAGCGGGGTGGCCATGAGAAGCAGGAAGGGCCGGTTCATGCCATGAATGGTGGCCAGGTCACCCCGGCGGCCCATACTGATTCCTGTTTTAGTTTGGGAGTCAGGGGGTGAGGGGTGGGGAGACAAACACACACACTCTTAGGTGGTGAGTGGGGGATGGGCAGGGATAGGAGGACACACACACACACACACACACACACACTGCACACGGCACCGGGACAGAAGGGTGGGCCTCACCGTTGATTTCCACATGGAGTATGTTATCTTTGCTGTCACAGGAGCAATGGGCACTGAGGCGAAAGCCTTGGATTTCACCTGTGAGAGTGAGGAAAGGGGAGCCAGTGTGAGGGTGTGGCTCACCCAGCCCCTGGGGGAGAAGGCAGGAAGGCTCAAACCCGGCTGCCCTCTCACTGCAGCCTCTTGACCCTGTTGCTGCAGCTCTCTGCCTTGCTGCCTCTCCCTCCACCTTCAGGTCTCAGTTCAAATGTCACCTCCTCCAAGAGGCCCTGCGGGATGCAGGCCCCACTCCCACGATGACACCACTTTACTTTCTCCATAGCCCTGACCCTCTGGGTCCTTTGTATTTGGCTATTTATTTCCCTCATTGTTCTCAGTGGAGAGCAGGATGCATGGGGGCAGGGATCCTTGCTTTCTTGTTCCCTGCAGGGCCTGGCCCACAATGATAAAAACAAACTTCTACTGAGTGCAGGAGGGCACACTGCGTGCCAGGCATGTTCCGAACACTCTGTGGGCATTATCTCCTTTAACCCTCACCACAGCCACCCATTTTCCAGAAGAGGATGCCCAGGCACACAGAGAGGAGGTGACCTGCCCCAAGTGGGAAAAGGCAGGGCTGGGAGAAAGGCTTCTTGAATGAATGAATGGATTTTCTAAGCTCCAACTATGTGCTGGACCCTGTACTGGGTGCTCTGGGCTCAAATAATGACCAAGATAGGCCTTTGTCCAGTGGCCCTAGACACTCCTCCCAATGCCCACATGCTCCCTAACCCCCATCTTTTCATCTGGCCAAACCACCATTTATGCCATGAGTCTCAACACATTCACCCTTAACCTCGGGAAGCCCTCCTGGACCACCTCCTCCAGATGGGTTTGCTTATCTGCTCTGGGCTCCCCTCTTCTGGCCCTGATCATTCTAGTCATCACTGCCTGCTAGGGCTTTGGCAAGACTTCCTAGGTGCCTGGAAGTAATGGTGAGGACAGCGCCTAGAAGTCTGCTTGGTTACCACTGTCTCCCTTGCACCACCACCCAGGGCCAGGCACAGAGCAGGCACCTACTAGCATTTACTGAATGGAAGCATGAGTAAGAGGGATATTAGGAAGGGAGATGTGGACACTGTGGGCTCAGCTGGGACAGGACAGAGGCCATCTTCTCGACAGATTGGATGTGCCAGGCTCTCCCCGGAATAAAGGCCTTTGCATATCCTGTCCCTCTGCCTCCAACAGTCTTGCCCTCCTTCTTTCCTGGGCTGGTTCCACTCATCCCCCAGACATTGGCTCTGCTGTCCAGGAAGCCCTCCTTGATCCCAGACTGTGCAGCCACCTCCTCTGGGCTCCCCATTCCAAACCTGCCCACTCTGGGTCATTACTACTTGATTGACAGGTCTTTCATCCTCTTCCCCCACCCCAACAATGGATCATGAGCTCTGTGAGGGCAAGGATGGAGTTGTTTTTATCACTACTGTGTCCCCAGAATCACCCAGCACAGGTCCAGAGCTCAGGAAATGGATCAAGCCATTCATCACTCAGGTTTGAGTGTCTGGGAGGAGGGCCAGGTCCCGGCTCTTTGGCACCAACATAGGGCCAGGGGGGCGGGGGTGCTAGGCAGAGTAGTTGCAGGACAATGGGGTCGACCCCATTGCAAAACAGGGTGGGGCAAACAAGTGGTCCTCACCTTTGTAGTTCAGCCACTGCCGCACGACTGTAGTGACCTCAAAGGACAGCCACTCAGGCGTGTCGCCGGAATCCAGCACCTGGTTGCTGAGGTAGCGCCAGGAATTGTTGCTGTATTTCTGGGGGATGACGAATAGAAAGACAGAGATGGTGGGTAGACGCTGCCATGCACCTCCACGTCCACGGCCTGCACCCCACCCCATCTGCTCCTCTAAATGGGCCTTCAGACAGTCCCATGGACAGTCCCCTCCCAGACATCCATGCCCTGGGGGCCCACAGGAACCACCTGTGCCACAGGGAGCTCCAGCCTGGGGGTCCCGGCACCTGAGCTGCTCAGCCTCGGGCCCCGATCCTCTTTGGAGCCAAGGAAATTCTTTTCTCTCTCTCGGCTTCAGTTTCCTTGCTGGTGAAATGTCAGGCCCCTTTGAGCTTGGACAGCCCACTGCTCAGATTTCCCTGCAGACATCCTGGGCTTCACTCAGCATACATTTCCGCACATTTGACACCCTGCATTCTGAGTCTATCACTTTCTAGGGGCTTATGTTAGAAGTCATTCTATAACTCCAGGGTTTGACAGCATCCCAAGAATGACAGTCAATGAGCCCAAGAAGTTCTAAGACAGTGGTTCTCAACCTTCTGGCCCTTTAAATACAATTCCTCATGTTGTGACCCAACCATAAAATTATTTTTGTTGCTACTTCATAACTGTAATGTTGCTACTGTTATGAATCGTAATGTAAATATCTGATATGCAGGATGGTCTTCGGCGACCCCTGTGAAAGGGTCGTTCGACCGCCAAAGGGGTCTCGACCCACAGGTTGAGAACCGTTGATCTAAGAGACTAATGTTCCACAAGTCCAGGAGTTTGACACGCCATAAACCTAGCCTCTGCAGACACTCCTGTGGAATGATCCCTGGTTCTGGACAGAATGCTCCAGGAGTGGCAGCTTAAAGTTGGGGTCTCTAGATGCCAAGAAGTTAACATGAGACAAAGTTCCCTCTACCATCTACCATCACAACTAAAGTTCCATATGACATGGATTCTAGGCCACTTGACCTTCTAGAGACCCCACCTCTCCCAGAGGCCCCAATCTTCCTGAAGATTCCAAATTTCTAGAACAGAGCTATCCAAGAGACCCCCTCCGTGACAGCAGAAATATTCTTTATCTGTGGTGTCCCAAATAGCTGCTAACCACATGTGACTATGGCTGTTTGAAATATGGCCAGTGGGACTGAAGAATTGAATTTTAAAAAAATATATATTTTATTGATTTTTTACAGAGAGGAAGGGAGAAGGATAGGGAGTTAGAAACATCGATGAGAGAGAAACATGGATCAGCTGCCTCCTGCACACCTCTTACTGGGGATGTGCCCGCAACCAAGGTACATGCCCTTGACCGGAATCGAACCTGGGACCCTTGAGTCCGCAGGCCGACGCTCTATCCACTGAGCCAAACCGGTCAGGGCTGAATTTTTGCTTTTAATTGTTAAAAACTTAAATGGCCATATGTAACTAGTGGCTTCCCTATGGGACAGAGAAGGTCCAGAACCCTGAACTGTTCTACAGATTTCAACTTTCAAGATACCTGCGTTCTAGAATCCAATTGCTAAGATTCCAGCCTTCTCAGTGGTTAACATTCTAGGGTGCTAGGAGTCTGACATTTTAAAGAGCCTTATGATTCCACGGCCTGTGCTCTTCTGTCTTTCAGGGTCTGTCTGTGTGGCCCTTGCAGTCACCCATGGCCCAGTGGCCCACCTGGCCCATGCCCCCACCTGGTACAGCTCCACGTGTTGCCCCACTTTCAACTTGTGCCTCTGCAGGCGCAGCTCGGCCCGGAAGAGCAAGTGGGGTTCAGGCACTGCTTCCCGGAGATCCGACGTGTTGAAGAACATATATATGCTGTGTGAGTTGTGCTTGAATTTCTTATAGATTTCTAGGCAGAAGGAGTGGAGAAGGGGGATGTCAGGGGTGTGGCAGTGGCAGGGGAGCTGATGCACCCCAAGTGTGAAGAGCATGGGCTCCAGAGCTGACAGCCTGGGTTGGAGTCCGACCCTGACCTTGGATGAGTGGCTTGCTCTCTCTGGGTTCATTTCCTCCTCTCTAAAACCCTTCTCTTCCATCATCGGTCAAGTGCCCACTCAATACAGGCTGGCACCAAAGGTGTCTGCTTTGTTTGCTCAGATCTTCCCAGTACTTGGAGCCTCAAATGCAAGTTCCATGGCAGTGTAGGGTCAAGGGCATTTGGAGCAGACCATGCCTCTGCTGCCTTGAGCTCTGTGACCTTGGCAAGACCCATCCCTTCTTAGAGCCTCAGTTTCCTGCTATTCTTTGGAAAATGGCAACCACATCAAGCTCCCTGCCTTCCACCCCAGGGTCTCCTAACTGAAGTGCTGGTGTAAATCTGAGCAAGTCAGTTCCTGTGCCAGATTCTCACCTGTGACACAAGGATGGCTGCAGGATGAGAGTGTGAAGTGAGATGAGGCAGATGAAGCACATGGCAGAGTCTGCACACAATAGTCACCCTAATGTGTGTGTTAAAGAGCTCACTATTTGCCAGCTGCTATTCAAAGCATTTTGCATTTAAACGTCACAACAATCCCATGAGGAAGATACTATTATTATACCCATTCTCTAGGTAGTAAAACAGAGGCACAAAGAGATCGAGTAATTTGCCCCAAAGTCACATAGCTAGGAAGCTGCAGAATGGGGATTCAACCTCAAGCAGACAGCTTCCAGAGACAACACCTAAGCTAATGTGATATTATTATTGTTGTTATTATCAATTGCTTCCTCCCTCAGCTGGTTAGAAAAGGCAAAGTTCATTCTAGGTAGGAATGGCCTGGGAGTGGGGAGAAAATTAGCAGGTGTGTTCTAGGCTAGGAAAAGTTTGGGGTTGAGGTTGAGGGAACTCCTGGATAAACGGGAGCATCTGCTTTAGGCCTGTGCAGTGGGGAGGTAAACACAGAGACAGGCTCTGAGAAATGTCAGAGGAAATCCCTTCTGTGGGCCCCCATCCTCTACTCATCCCCACTCTAGCCAGGCCAGTCCTGCCTCCTGCAAATAAGCACTATCTTGGCCCAGGGGTTACTCAGCAACCCCCAGAGGAAGGGAGACAGATAGGGAGGGAGAGAGAGAGAGAAAGGGCAGGGATCCACAGAGGGAGGGAGGGAGAGACCACAGAGACCAGGGACCAGACCGGGAGCGGTAGGAGGAGGTGTGGAGAAGTAGAGGCAGGAGATGGAGACTAATGAAGATGAAGGCGAGATGGATACCCACACACACGCACGCACACACACACACACACACACACACACACTCGGAGAGGGACACTGGGTTTGGGAGCCAGAGGGAGAGGATTGAAGGTATCATTGTTAAATCTCTACAAAAAAAGGTGAAGCGATTACGGAAAAGGTGAGGCGGATCTGTGAGGGGGATGGGCGTCATTTGGCTGGAGCCACAATTGGGCAAAAGAATGGGCTGGGGACCCACAAGTCCAGCGCCCACGAGGGAAGGTGAAAGCAGGGGGACCGCCCCAAGTCGCAGGGCCACTTGGGACCCCTGGGTCCCCGCGTGGGCGCCGACGGGGCGGGCCCACGGTAGTCCCGCCCGGAACTGGGGTGAAGAGGGCGGGAGGCGCCGTCGCCGCCGCGAGGGCGGGGACCGGACCTGCCTCATCTCGCCCCAGGCTCCGCGCGCGGATCCCCACCCCCCGGGGCACGGGAAGGAAAGGGAAGAGGGCGGGCGGGCGAGGCGGCCGGACGCTGGGGCTTCCCCAGCCTCGCGGGGAGGAACTGACACTGTGGGGTCTAGAGACTCTCAGCCTTTAGCTCTGTGGGGTCCTCGCCCCCTCCGGACGCGCAGCTCCTCCCCCCGCGCGTGGCACCCACGTGGGACCTCCTCACCCCGACCTTGCAGATCGCACCTACCCACCTCTCCCCCTGCGCTCGACTCCTCGCTCAGCCCGCTCCCTTCCAGCCCGCAGCTCGGGGGCTCGCTGCGCCCAAGGGCCCCGTTTATCTCTCCTTCACCCGCAGCCCCGTCCGCCTTTCCCACGCCTGTCTCCCCGCCTCTGTAACACTCCTTCCCGCGACCCCGTCTTCTAGGTTTCCTGGGGGCTCGCTTCCTCGCTGGCCTCCTCCCACGTCCATCTGCGGAACCCGCAGGGCACCTCCCCGCGCATCCCTGGCAGCCCCTCCCTCCCGCCCCTTCCTTCCCCGGATTCTCACCCTCACCGCCCCGCTCTCTGCACCCCCCATCCCCGCTCCCTGCACCCTCCGCAAGCGGGCCCACTCCGTTCCTCAGAACCTCCAAAGGGCCTTAATGTTGAGGCTGGACTTCATCCTGAGGGCACCGGGGAGCTCATCTTCGCCTAGCTTCTCTGTCCTTGACTTTTCCCACCTCACGACCCCTGAGCTCCGCATCAGCTCTCCCCGCTGCCTCCCCCAGCCCCAAAGTGGCTCCCACCCTGCAGCCCCCACCGCAAGACCCCCGACCCCAGGGCACCCCGGAGGCGAAGTCTTTTTCTACACCCCCCCCCCCATGTTCTCTCCCACGAGGGGACTCTCCCGCGACCCCTGATGTCCCTGTCGCCTCCAGAAGAGGTCCACTTCGCTCACTGTCTCCTCCTCTCAAGACCAGGCACCTGGTGGGCAGGAAGCTCAACCCATTTATTCTCGGGGGATGAGGGGGGCCTCCAGCGTTCCCAGGCCCCCCAGGTCCTCTTCCTCCAGCCAGCTTCCTCCCCGACCCCAGCGTGCCGGCGCCCTCCCCTCCGAGCTCACCGTGGTTGTTGTCCACCGTCAGCACGCGGGTCAACTCCTTGGCGTAGTAGTCCGCCTCGGGCTCGGGTCGGGCTCCG